CATTTTCAGTTTCTATCTTTGTTATTCTTCGATTGGTTTCTTCTAATTTCAGTGAAATTCTGACTTCAACCGATTCTATCAATGATTTCACTTCCTGTCTGCTTCTTTTAATTTCTTCAAGAATGATATCATTCGTAACAGACATATTTCTTGCATATATGGTTCGCTTTATCGTGCGGTCCTTGAGAACCGTTTATCCGAACATAAACAAATAAATTTTTATGGTCCTCAAATTCTATTTCAGACTTTTTGTTTCTGCAATATTTTCATTTGCAGGTGTTACTAGTGATGTTAATATGGTTTCTACCAAATTTCACAATTTCAGTTGATATATTACCTTGATAATTTATACTTTTCACTAGGAAGTCACCACAACCACCACAATGTGACACGATTGATGAACTATGGTCAATGCGAACTTGTCTGCTTCAATAGTGGTCGAAGTCAATGTTTCTTATTGTGCAAGTTGAGTGCGTTATAATCGCTTGGAAGTCGTCTTATATTGGCATCGGAAACTCGACTGCTTCAATAGTATCAATGTGAGTTGATAGGATAGGGATATAGAGTGTGCACACTAATGAAGTCGATGTATCTTCATCTGCCTATTGAACTCGTTATATATTCCTCAGAGTCATCTTATACGGTCACTGCAATCTTATCTGCTTCAACTGTATGCATGTCAGATGATATACGCAGAGTTACAGTGTAAACATAGTCGAAGTCGAAGTTTCTTGTTTCGCAAACTGTATGCATTATGCGCGCTTGGAAGTCGTCTTATATGGACAATGAATACTTGTCTGCTCTAATAGTGTCAATGTAAGAAGATAGGATAGAGATATATAGTGTGCAAAACGATGAAGTCGATTTATCTCCGTTTGCCTATTGTTCTCGTTATATACCGTTCGAAGTCGTCTTATACGGTCACTTTAATGGTTTCTGCTCCAACTGTATGCATGTCAGATGCTAGACTGCAGAGTTACAGTGTAAACATAGTCGAAGTCGAAGTTTCTTGTTTTGCAAACTGTATGCATTATGCCCGCTTGGAAGTCGTTTTATATGGACAATGAAAGCTTGTCTGCTCCAATAGTGTCAATTTAAGATGATAGGATATAGATTATATAGTGTGCAAAACGATAAAGTCGATGTATCTTTGCGTGCCTATTGTACTCGTTATATACCGTCCAAAGTCGTCGTATACGGTCACTGCCATCGTATCTGCTTCAACTGTATGCATGTCAGATGCTTGACGACAGAGTCACATGGTCGAAGTCGAAGTTTCTTGTTGTGCAAGTTGAGTGCGTTATAATCGCTTGGAAGTCGTCTTATATGGGCATCGGGAACTCGACTGCTTCAATAGTATCAATGTGAGTCAGGATCCAATTCAATTCAATTCAATTCAATTTACTTTATTACTTTCAAAAACAGACATTTTTACAGCAAGGATTTGGTTATCAAGTATGTTTGGCACTAATGTTAATATATATCAAGAGAGCATTACGACATATTATTATCTGATTTATAGCGACTAAGAAAAACAAACAAAATTATAATAGTGACCTGTACTCAATAATAGAGCATTATTCATTTAAAATGAAGGATCGTAGCTTGAGGACATTCCAAATATAGCGAGTAATTGTTTTAGCTGATTCAATCGATAATTTTTCAAGTGCGTAGAACATAGAATCAGGGCTAGATAAACAATCTGAATTCAAGGGTTTCATTGAACAATAGATTGGGCAATCAAACATGATGTGGTTGATTGATTCAAGTTGGTTTTGGTTGCATACTGTACATTTTTCAGTTGGATTAATTATGTAAGTGGATCCGTTGTAAGTGAATTTCATTGACATATTATTACAGAGTCGAAGCTGGGCTATGGTTCGTGTTATCTTAATAGGCATGTTGAGAAGTAGATAGTTTTTTGGGGATTCGTTTGGAGTTAAGTGGGTGTAAAGGCAGAGAAACGTAGAGCGTTGACTTAAAGATAGGTCTGTCTCGAAAAGTTTCTGGCGGAGTTTATTAAGAAGTAATTTCTTGTTACTCTTCAAGCTGTTGTAGTTATGATCCTGCCATATATCTCGTGAATCAGCGAGTTCAAAGATATTCTTCAGCTGGAGAAGCCAATTGAATCTATCGTCGCCACCCGACAACTGTATGTGTCTAGTAAGGCAGATTTTGGGGAGTCGATTATCGTCCATGGCCAGGATTTTGATGTACCAATTCAAGGTCCATTTGAAAATGTTATATAAAAGACGGACTCTGCCAGTTTCTATTCGAATGATATAGTCGGGGGTGTTGATAGGGAGGAGAGGAAGCCTTTTCAGAAACCGAGTTTGCACTTTTTCCAAAATCTCAGCATAGCGTAAGCCCCATACTGGGATACAATTGGTCATTGTACTTAAAACCAGAGACTGAAAAATATGAATTCTTGTTGACCAAGATTCAACTTTAGTTTTAGCCATTATAGGCAGTATTGCACCAACAGCTTGTTTGGCTTTAGCTGCTGCTGAACAGGCCATCTCGCGAAATAGGGTAGAGGATGTGAATAATACACCTAGGTATGTATACGTTTTTGTAGTTTCGATTACAGAGCCGTTAAATAGAAAGCGCTCACTAGCTCGTGGTATGTAGGGACCCCTTGAGAAACACATTATTTTTTTTTTATTGGTGTTGATGGAGATGTGGTTTTGTGCAGTATAATCTTGGAGAGAATTTTAAGTTTCTTTCCAACATCTATCTCAGAGTGGGCCAATATAACGAGGTCATCTGCGAACAGAAGCATGAGAAGGTTATGAGTATTATCGATGTTGATACCTTCTGCTCCTCTATCAATGAAAAAGTGCTCGATATCGGCCAAGAAAAGTGCAAACAGGAGAGGGCTCAATACCTCGCCTTGTAGAACTCCAGTCGTTACTTCAAATGGTTTCGTGAATTGTCCTTGAGTTCTAACACGCATGTTCGCATCACGATAAAAATGTTTGAGAAGGACTATTCTGGAACTAACGCCAGTTTGAAATAACTTGTGCCAGAGAAGAGAGTGATTGACGCTATCGAAAGCTCGTTTAAAGTCTACGAGAAAGGCAAATATCTTACGTTTTCGGAGTCGGATATGTAATTGGATTACTGATCAAAGAGTATAGACATTGTCGACACAACCACGATCTCGACGAAATCCACATTGTGATTCAGGCAAGATATTATATGATTCAATCCTCAGTGTTAGCCTGTTGAGAATTATGTGCATGAAAACCTTAGCTAGGCAGTTTACTAGCGCTATTCCTCTATAGTTGGAAGGATCATCTATAGGACCTTTTTTATGAAGCATAGTCATAGCGATATCACTCCAACTTCTGGGGGTCTTTCGAGAGTCAAGAATGGAGTTGAAAAAAGAGCACATATAGACTAATATAGAGTATCCAATTATTAGGCAAGTTCATTAGAAATTCGTTGGGTATATTATCAATGCCTGGGGATTTGTTCCTCTTGCAACTGTTCAGGACGCCATATATTTCAATCGTTGTGATAGGGTAGTCGAAGTTGGGATTCCTTGCATCGAAAAAGTTAGTATCATCAATCAGCCTCTCTGGATATATGTTTTCATAGAAAGCTTCCCAAACATCCACTGAAAGGTGGGTACAGGGTGGATTTGAACGGAATTCTTTAATGATTTTCCTGAAGTTTCTGGAATCTCTAGTCTCCGAGAGTTTTAAAATTATGTTTTGTTCATAATTTTTTTTTTAGTAAAATCATTTTTTTGTATTCAGATTTCGATTTTAAGTAGGCTGTTTTGGATTCTTGGGAAAATGAGTAGTTTTTACAGGTCTTCAAGTTTTCTTTGGCACGCCGTTTCAATGCCAAGCAGTCATGATCGAACCATGGTTTATTATTCATTGAACGAGGGGACTTCGAACCATTTTTTTTCAAACCTAACACATCAGCAATTTCGTGTATTGCCAAAATGAAATTTTCATTTGATTTTTCAATATCTGAGATGAAAGAAACGCGAGGGCAATTTTGCATGTGTATTTTGTGAGGTAAAGTCAAGTTTCCATCCATTCTGAGAGTATATGAGCTCAAGGAATTTGATTTCTGGTTAGAAAGAGAATTATAGAAGTTGAATTTTAGCGTACATGATACTGGAAAATGATCAGAAGTATTGAACTCTTGTCGTACCACGAAGTCATCCACAACAGATAGATACGCATTGTTTATCCAGACCAAATCAACTATGCTTCTGCCTTGACTACTAATGAAAGTGTTTTGAGCGATCCGGTCTGAAATGCTTCTGCCGTTGAGTAAAGAAAGACCGTTACAATTCATGAAATCTAATATCTTACGACCCCGAGTATTCAGGATGTCGTCGCTGCTACGTCTTTCATGGTACAAGTTTGTATTCTCGAATAATTCAGTTGGAGTCGAATAATTGTCAGAAACTCTAAAATTGAAATCTCCGCCGATTATTATTGGTAAATCATATTGTTCCATAATTTCGCTTAAAGAGTATTGAAATAATTCTAACAAGTGAATGATATCTAGACTAGGTTTAAAATAAATATTACATAAAATGAATTTGCAACCAGAATGACTAATCAAACGAAGAATCCACCAAGAAGTGTAATCAATGATTGTTAATGAAAGTTGTTCATTATAAAAAATTGCTAACCCGCCACTAGCTCTTCCGGATGATTTTTCTCTTATGGCGTTTGAGCTCACAACTTTAAAAGCTGGCAGATGAGCTGATGGAACTAATTGATTAGTCATCCAGGTTTCAGATAGGCACAGAATATGGAAGTAATTATGGTCACTAGCAAAGTCCTGTAGGTTTGAAAATCCGTGGCAGTTCCAGAATGTGATATTTATGGGTTGCTATTGTTTGCTTGATTGTCCGGATTTAGGAATTTTTGTTCCAGATTTACGCCTAGGGGAAAAAACTGCGTCACGACCTCTCTTGGTGGCTGTCATAGTTCCAGATGGAGTAGTAACAATTTTAGGTATTCTGTTCACGTATTAATTGTAAGGTTATTTTCAACTTGCGACCTCAGTTCTAGTTCTTCACGTAGGTTTTTGAGGTGTTGAAGTTGATTCGGTGTCATATCGGATTTTATCGTGATTGAAGGGTGTGTGTTACGAGTGATGTTCGATTTGTTTCGTAAAACTTCAAGAGCGACCTCGGATGAACTGAAAGTTAAACGAAAGGGGCGGGGTTTATTCAACTCTATTATTTTGCCTAGTCGAATCCCAGACACAATTTGTTCTGCGGAATCAGGTGCGATATGGAGAAGCAAATTTTTGGCATAGCCAAGATCCTCAGATGCAGTATTTTCAGGAATTCCCATAATCAGAACATTCTTCTCGCGTTTAATTCTTTCAGAGCTCTCGATCACGACTTCCTCGGATGACAGATGGAATTGGTTATTGAGTTTGTCTTCTAATGCCGTGATTTCACCACGAAGTTCTCGGTTCTCGGAATGTAGAGAAGATATGTCTTCAAGGCAGCTGGCTAAGGTTAATGATTGGGCAGACAGAGTGGCGCTGAGATCCTCAATTCTATTGTTACAAGTAGCCATTGAATTAGATAAAATTGCGAATTGGTCCATAATGGCTCGAAAATGATCATTGTTAATCTGCAGGGATGAACGAGAACAGCTTTTACAATCATCACATGTCCAAACGAACGGCGTCGATGAAACGTCGACGGGCCATCCTGACGAAGATCGAGCACACCTAGCATGACTGCGGCGTTTACATACTGAACAAAACACTTGGATTTCGCTATCACCGTCGGTCAGAATCTCCGTGCACAGATAGCAAGCGGTAGTAGTGGGAGGGGTCATGCTTGCTAGCATGCCACAATATCAAAATATAAACAATGACGATTTTCTTTGAATAATGAAAAGCAGGAATTTGCTCTCCAGGATTGGGATAACTTGAAATAGGTAGTTAATAGTTCTGCACAGGTCACTTACTCTGTTTGATTATCTCACAGACTTCGGGTATAGGCAATAACTAGTAGATACACTGTGATTTCACAAACGGTTGCAGGCTGGTTTAATATACGTGTGTACTGAACGAGGTGCGGAACCAAACTCAAGAGTTGATAGGATAGGGACATAGAGTGTGCACACTAATGAAATCGATGTATCTTCATCTGCCAATTGAACTCGTTATATATCCCTCAGAGTCATCTTATACGGTCACTGCAATCGGTTATGCTTCAACTGTATGCATGTCAGATGCTAGACTGCAGAGTTACAGTGTAATCATAGTCGAAGTCGAAGTTTCTTGTTTTGCAAACTGTATGCATCATGCCCGCTTGGAAGTCGTCTAATATGGACAATGAAAACTTGTCTGCTCCAATAGTGTCAATGTAAGAGGATAGGATAGAGATATATAGTGTGCAGAACGATGAAGTCGATGTATCTCCGTTTGCTTATTGTACTCGTTATATACCGTTCGAAGTCGTCTAATACAGTCACTGCGATGGTATCTGCTTCAACTGTATGCATGTCAGATGCTAGTCTGCAGAGTTACAGTGTAAACGAAGTCGGACTCGAAGTTTCTTGTTCTGCAAGCTGTGTGCGATATACTCGCTTAAAACTCGTCTAATATGGTCACTGCAATCGTATCTGCTCCAACTGTATGCATGTTAGATGTTAGACGGCAGAGTTACAGTGTAAACGAAGTCGATGTCGAAGTTTCTTGTTGTGCAAGTTGTGTTCGTTTTATTCGCTTGGGAGTCATTTCATATAGGCATTGCGAACTCGTCTGCTTCAATAGTATCCATGTGAGATGATAGGATAGAGAGATATAATGTGTACGACGATGATGTTGATGTATCCCCATCTGCTATACACCCTTCAGGGTCGTATTATATGGTCATTGCGATCAGTAGATATGTAAGGTCGATTCTAATATCAAGATACTAGAATCGACCTATGTGTTATTTGATACTAGGTCGATTCTAGTATCGATGATCTATCGAACAGCCTCATGTTCCATTCGATCGTAGGTCGATTCAAACATCAATGATCTTATGGTTTTTGGATACTAGAATCGACCTAGGATCAAATAACATATAGGTCGATTCAGAGATCAATGATACTAGAATCGACCTATGTGTTATTTGATCCTAGGTCGATTCAGAGATCAATGATACTAGAATCGACCTATGTATTATTTGATCCTAGGTCGATTCAAACATCAATGATCTCAGAACAGCCTTTCGGTTTCTTGATACTAGAATCGCTCTATATGTTTTATGGACATATGGTTTCAATATGGAGATTCTTGCGATCTCAGAATCAGGTGGTGAAGCATCTCAGAAATGAGCCGGGGAGAATTCTCCTGCTTGTCACAGTATCAAGTATTCTGAGACCCGCTATATTGAACGCAGTACTCAGGGTACTGTACATTTTGACTATAACCTAAGGGAGTGATCAGTGAATCAAACAAAGAGTATTATTTGATAATTGTATTAACTAAAAGTAGGACATTTCAAAGTTACTCGTTTGGTTGTAGTCATTTTGTTTTGTTGGAATCGTCTCGGATTGAAAACAACCTGTTGGTTCCATTTCTCTTCTTCTCTTGAGCTTATCTTGATGTTGTTGAAATTCTTCGTCATCTCAAAAATGTCGATAGTCATTTTGAGTTCCTTCAGGTTTCTGATATGTTGATTCAATAAGTCGTTGATGCACATCTGAGCGGTCAGCAAACAAATGAAAAGGTCATTGGGGTAGGAGACTACTTATCCAATTATGTGAATCCCTGCAATTTCGAAAACTGCACATATTGTTGTCACTGGAATTATAGTGCATGCATAGAGGACTATCAGCCTTTAATTTGACAGTATCCATGACATTGTCAAAAATTTTGATATTGACTATTTTGGGTCTGTGAGATGACGTTAGCATCGAATTTAGAAATTCGAGTTTTTGATGTCCTCTTACATAAACTGAGTCAACATCTTTCAGATGTTCTGGTAGTATATTCGGTAATTCATCATAGTCTATCAACCCAGAAGAGTATGTTAGCCCATGGAAATTTCGTTCTAGCCAACGAACTTGTTTTTTGTCTGCTTCCTGAAGTGCACAAAATGGAACGGCTGCTCTGAATAAATAGTTGTTGATCTGATAGTGTTATGTCTGGATTATAGAAATCTCTGAACTATTCAGTAAACTGGATGTTAAATTATTCTTTATTTTTTGACAGTTTAAAATTAACTTTTCATAACATATGAACATAATCATTCATCAATAACCCTTTTCATCTCTTGTTTCCATGGGTCATCTTATTTGTAATACACCACACTTCTTTCCCCTCAGGTCTCAAGATTTGAAAAGTACAGGCTTCGATCTTTTTCTTGAGGATCTTCTCAGTATCCCTGAATGACCTGACTTCGATTTCTCTTCCAATGTTGGCTCAGTTGAAGTTGTTCTAATATCCAAAGTAGAAGTTGGATCAGGTGATGTTTCTATATCAGGCAACTCTTCGATGTTGGATGCTGGTGGATCTGATGATGATGATGAACCAACTTCAGGTTGGGAAATATTGGCATTCTTCAGAACTTGATCAATATGTCGTTTCACCACATTCCCTTGTTCATTTTGAATTGTTAAACTCCTGGGACCACCATCAACTCCTTGTATTCTACCTGGCAACCATTTATTATTGTTCGAAGTATAGTCTCTGTATATTATGTTTTCTCCTTCCTTCATAATTCTCGATGGGGATATTGTTTGTTGAACCATTTTGTCCAACTCAGCATCTTGTTTCGCATGGATATTCTGCGGATAGGCTCCAGGATGTATTAGGTCTAGTGCAGATCTGATTTTCCTTCCCATAAGTAAATCACAGGGTGTTTTTTCAGTTATAGTACTCGGCGTGATTCTCAGCATCAAAAGTAAATTGGAAAGCTGATGGTTGAAATCTTTTGCCTGGTCAAATTTATTTAAATTTTGTTTTAGAGTCTTCACCAATCTCTCGGCTTGTCCATTTGTAGCTGGATGGTAAGGAGCTGAACATATGTGGCGGATTCCGTTCCTCTTCAAGAACCATTCAAATTCTTCAGAGGTAAAATATCTAGCATTATCGGATACAATGCTCAATGGTAATCCATGAGTAGAATATAATTTTCGTAAAATATCTATTACATTTTCGAAGTCGTTGAGAGGGTTATTCTCGTTGGTCTGTGCTTCATCGATATCTTTCTTGAAAGTGAGGGAACTATCCGCGAGTAGACGTCTCTGTAGGGCTTCGTCCCTCACTCCAATTACTAAGTGATCACGTAACATATCGTCTAAATCAGTGAAATCGCAGAACTGGCTCAGAGTACGAAGAGCGGCAATATATTCCTGTATAGATTCACCAGGTTCCTGATGCCTTTGATTGAATTTGAAGCGTTCAATGATTTTGTTCGGCTGGGAATTATAGCGATTCTTCAGTAAATCCACAATACTCTCATATGTCAAATCCTTGATTGGACTTGGAGCTGCAACGGATCGTATGGTCATGAATGAACTATTTCCACAGGTGGAGAGCAAAATAGCTTTCTCCGTTGAAGAATCTCTGATCTCATTGGCTTCAAAATAATATTGTAATTGCTCTTCGTAAATATCCCAAGTATCGGGTTCGGGAACAAATTCGCGTACTGTGCCGTACGTACTTCGCATGATGGTACTGGAATTGGTTGCGATGCTGGTTTCTGATGAGTTCGACATATCGAATTCTTCTGGATTTATTCGTTCTTCTTTTTCCTCGTCGCCAATTTGTTATGTCTGGATCATATAAATCTCTGAACTATTCAGTAAACTGGATGTAAAATTATTCTTTATTTTTTGACAGTTTGAAATTAACTTTCCATAACATATGAACATAATCATTCATCAATAACCCTCTTCATCTCTTGTTTCCATGGGTCATCTTATTTGTGATACACCACAGAACCCTTGAATATCTATACTTAATATTTTCATTGCGTGGATGATGATACACAACTGAAATTATCGACTACTTGAATGTTATCTATAAGATGAAAGAGTAAAATAGGGGAAGAAGAATTTATTTTACAATTGCTTGACAATTTTTGTCAAAGGACTGTAGCTGAACATTTTTTCATGTTAAATTAAACAGAATGCTGAAGTGTTGTCTGGAATTGCTTTGGCTGCTTCAAACTCTATTCTCATCACAACTGATCCACTTTGCAAATATTCTTTCTGATGGGAACAGTCGATGTATGCCATAGGGATGTTCTCTACAAACTCCTTCGGTGAAAATATAGGTTCCTATTCCTATCATCGAATTTACTTGAATCTGATTTTATATTATTTTTTCTATCTGTTTGGAAGACAACGATGATGTGACGTGGTGTTTCCAACTGATTTGTCGTTTTGACAGGCCATGTCGTTTTTGTGGCTGTAGGCAATTTGGGGTATTCTATTCCAGAATATCTTGTCGATGTGTACTTCTGGAATTTCCTTCTCATCGGAACTGTATGTGGCGTCGATGTCGTCATTGCTTCGAATCAACACCAATTCCTGTTTCATGTTCAAAATCACCTTTCGATAGTCCTCGAAGAAACCCATGATGAAAGAAAGTGGGATACTGTCACAAACTGTAGGCGGGGGTTGCCTAAGTTGTGCTCTAGATCTATTAGAGAATGAACTTTGAAAGTGATAATAATAAAGAATACTCCAGAGGGTTTCCAACAAAACATATACACACATTTATTCTTTGTATCATGATAAACAATAAATAAAACTTAACTTACCCTATATGTACAAATTGAATGGCATTTCTGGGAGCCTGAGGAAGGGCATCTTCATCTGCCCGAACTCCG